TTGTATTTGAAGCAAAACCACTAAAACGGTTTTAGTAAGGGGGAAAAAACGTCATTCCGCATCATGAGTAATAGTTTTTCACCGCAAATTCAACTGTTAACCCTTAAATGCATACCTCAGTTCTTTAGTGACCCGAGAAGTCATTCACTAGCCCCCTCCTCGTTTATTTTTTAAAGATAGACATCAACCTTCTTAGTATTCCTCAATCAATTCATTTTAAACAATATAACAAGAAAAATGTCTCATCATCAATTTACTGCAGAGCAAGTACTGAACGCAATCATGTGTCACTGTCATTTGATGGTGGATCTGGTGAAGAAGCTGTCAGCAATCATAATATTGATTTTGAAGTTGAAAATGATAGTTTTGAGAATATTTTTAAGATGGTGAATATGAGCCAGATGCTGAATGTACTGGGAAATGAGCTCTGATGAGGACAGTGACGATGGTATAAAACATCTGCTCAAACTGAACACTTTCAAGCTCCAAAAGGTAACAAAATATGCTTTATTTTATTCTTCTGGGATTGTTACTCTAATATCAGGTGAGTTTTATATTATCGCGACAGGTAGAGATCCATCTGTGTAAAATCCGGGCCGCTAAAGACCCGAATATGTAATAATAATTGGCAAAATTCATACATTTAAGGGTTAAAGTTTAAATATTGCAGACTTACGGCTTCACCAGAAGCATTTACCATGGATTATCACTGCGGTTTCATTTAATTTAATTTTTAAACTTTAAAGCGTTAAATTATTCAAAAGGGTAAAGTTTATACAAAAATTTCCAAAGTTGGAATGGAGTTTGTATATATTTGTATATATGTTAGTGTAATAAATAATTTGAAATTCTAGATAAAGATATAAAAGAGCAGTCTGCTTAAGCTGAATTTAGCTAAATCCACCAAAAATCACTCCGGAAACTTTCGCTCTTTTGGCCCAGACTGAAATCTCCAGAGTCTGAGATTAAAATACGAAGACAACCTGTGAAAAAGACTGTTGAAGCAAACACAAGTTTGTCATGTATATTCAAACTTCTCTTTTTTCCAGTGACATATCCAGCAGAGTGAGGAGGATGCCAAGAGCAAAATCCACCCGGACATCAGAATTTCCCAGGGAGATAAAGAGCTTTTTGTGTGAGTAATATTTTAAGGATGAGGGGAAAGACGGGACTTTGACAGAGAAAGAGAGATAGAGAAATACAGAGAGAGAGACAGAGCTAATCGGAACACTGAAACACTGTGAACCACAGTCTTTAGCAAGTTAAAATAGACATAATGCAAAGAGACGCTTTTGCCAATCTGCCCAAACCAAGTATTATTTTGAGAGGCTAGACTGAATGTTTAAGAAGCTATTTTCCATACAGCAATGGTCATTTTTTTTTACACATTTTGTTAAAGATAATAGAAAAGTGCAGCTGTGCATTTCTTTTCATTTAAATTTTACTCAAAGTTTACCTTTACACATTTCCTCTGAATTTTTTTTTTTTTTTGTGAATCTGTATAATTAACTTTGTAGTGAGTGTGAAAACACGTTGGATCTGGTATGACATCAAAACTGGTTCTCATGTATAAAATTGATAGATTGTTATGAAACAAACTTAAATATACTGATTCACACATAAGCATTAAAAAGCTACAGCATTGAAGTCTATTGTATGAACTTATGAAACTACATTTTATGGAATTTAAAGAGGACCTATTATGCTTTTTTACAATTTCAATATTTTTAGTGCGTAATGTTGCTGGTTGAGCATGAAAAAAATCTGCAGTTACAAAGCACAAAGTCCCTCCAGAGGAAGTTATTCTCAGTGTGAACTGTTTCTGAACTCCCTGAAACGCCTCGATTGTAGTCTTGAGTTTTCTTCTGGGAACGAACACATCACAATATTTCTCATAAATTATTCCCACCCAAAGCATACGCATTAATGAGGACGAGGGCTAGTTGAGTTACGTTAGTAGTGTGTTGATACTCGCAGTTATGGTAAGGGCAATGCAATGGCATTTCTCAAACAAGCTCAAAGCAGTTGACCAATCACAACACACTGGTTCAGCCGACCAATCAGAGCACATTGCACTTTTCAGAATGAGGGACTTCATAGAGACAGAAACTAAACAGATCGTTACTGACAGACTGGGATAAGAGGTGGTGCAACAATGTGAAATATGTGACAAATAATGTGTTTTTTGAACATTAAAGCATGGAAACCTATTGTAGTAGACCCCTAAAACAAAATCAAGACTTTGTAAAAGGGCATAATAGGTCTCTTTGTTTATTTTTATTTATTTATTTATTTTATGCCCAAAATCTACTTTTGGTCTATGTAAAAGTGCAGCTTGGACATTTTGCAAAAAATCTCCCTTTGTGTTTTACAAAATAAGCAAGTCATACCGGTTTATAGCATCATGAGAGTGAGTTTTTTTGGTGATAGAATTTAAATTTTTGGGTGAATTATTACTTTAATTCTTATTGTTAATTCCCTGCACCAAGTAGTCTCTCTCTCTCTCTCTCTCTCTCTCTCTCTCTCTCTCTCTCTCTCTCTCTCTCTCTCTCTCTCTCTCTCTCTCTTACTTTGCCATGGTTTCTTTTAGGTCCTCCTCAGATACGGAATGAACAATATTTGCTTTCATTTGGAAATTTTTGTGAGGATTAAAACCTTTAGGACACTTTTTTTTCAGGAGGGGTGAAAGGGGCTCCCTTAATCTGGTTCACACAGTCTCTACCTTTGGTGTAGCACTAGTACGTTTGAGCCAGGTCTGATTGAAGAGGGCAGCGGGTCAATGTATGGATGGATAGATGGAGGGCAAAAAGGAGGAGAGGACAGAGGAATGGCTAGAGGGGAGGTGTAAAGGGGTGCGTATGAGGCGTCCCAGGCCGAAGCTTTGAGGATTAACGGGGTGACTTCTCTTCTGGAATGTTCAGCCGACAGCCAAGACCCTCCCACTCTGCCAAACAGGTGCACGACAGAACCAAAAAATGATACGAGTGAAAGAAAGGGGAAAAAAATGTTACGCACTGATGAGTGCTTCACTAAACACTTATCTTTCAATATCTCAAACAGAGCTGTTTTGACTGAGCTGATCAGAGCTTCCAAATACAGAGCAAAACATTAATTTTGATTAATGATGAAAACGGAGAGATTAAATCTCTCAAAGCAGCTTTATTTTATCTGTTTTTGTCTCAAATAAACAATGCTTGAATGAAAATGAGTTTTCACAACTGTAGGTCGAAACCATTTGAGAAGGTACCTACTGTAAGTGTAGTGTTCTGTTAGTAATTATCTAACAAATCATCTGGCTGTCATCATTTGGAAAAATACAGTGCCAGAAACTGGAAAGCTATGTTTATTCAACTTTTATGACTCTTAATAGCATGCAAGAAGATTTGAAACACAAGAAATACAAAAAAAAAAATCAGTTATACTTTAATTAGTTGCCACAGTCACAATTTTCATTTCAATTAAGTTAAAGTTGAAGCTCTAAAATTCCTAAAACTAAATTGAAAAATACTAAACTAAAATTTTAATAAAATGTAATAAAAACTAAATAAACATGTTTAAAAAATTATAAACTAATAAAAACAACAAACGCACAAAAAAATTACAAAAATGTAAAAATAAAAAACTGAAAAATATTATAAAATATAAAATAAAATGAAAAAATAACTAAAAATGTATAAAAAATTATTCAAAATGTTAATAAATACTAATGATACTACAATAATTGTACACACACACAAACGTTTAATTCATATCTCAATCTTTCATTATCACATCGGGATTTGCCAGAGCCTTGTGGTGCCATCAGCCAATCAGCATTGTCATGACGTCATTTGTATACAGCTTCAGGGCGATTAATCACATGGTATTTACTCTCAGCTCAGGTGACTGACTTAAAGTGTTCCCATGAGCAAAGGTGGTAGATTTCAATTTCAAATGGCTACTTCCGGAAGTTCCTGCACCAGCCGAGTAACTGCCATAGAGATGAATGGGAATGCTAACGGGCTGCTTTCTTTAGGTATTCCATACCAGCTGACAAAGAACCCAATAACAACATAATAGTCAGCATCTGTCCTACTCTATAAATCATCTTGAGTGAACTCTATACGATCCGTAATGTCTTAATACAATCTAAAGAACACAGTTATTATGGTAACAAGAATAGAGAGGAAAGGACATTTCTCCACCCATAATTTAAGGTTGGGAATGCCGTGGCTTGCCTGCGCTTGTGCTAAATTTCAAGCATTGCAAACAAATAGGAGATAAATTAAGTCACAGTGAGTCGTGACCTTGCAGGCAGATGTCTTAGTATTTATACTAATGAAAGTGATTTAGGTATCTCAAGTTACTTTTCCATTATTCCATTTCAAGCTCATAAAACAGCTATGGATCTCAATCCTCTTCCAGAATTGCTTTCTTTTTAATCTCAAGGTCCTCATTGGGGAAGATAACAGATTGTTTGAGGGAGCTTCTTGATAAAATGGGACTCTTTGTTTTTGGATTCACCTCTTCTTGTGTGAATAGTCCCGTTATCCTGCTGTTTGAGGGAAAAGGAGGGGTTAGTGTGAATTCAAACTCATTTCTATTGGCTCATCAGATAGTATTGATGGTTTAATGACTCTCTGTAAACTCCATGAGCAGATTTGATATCAGATTAAAGATGGCCTTAGGTTCTCCAGCACAAATAACCTCAGGTTGAAGTGGGTGCAGATCCATCTCGAAATCCATCAACACTTTCTTTGTTCCAAAGGTTCTTATCAGTCGCAGTGTGACATATCTTGATCGGACCAAATAGTTTTCCCTCTGACTCCCAAGGGTCGGCTTTACCTTATCAACTTTAATGTCCACATGCGCCGCTGGAGGAGTTGGAGGCCTCGGGTTATGGGCAGTTTATCTTGGTTGACACTCCCTTGTTTTTATTTAAATCAGTTAAACGGTTCTTTAAAAGCATCACAGTTTTATTTGAAAAAAGACCTCCTATGTTTATAAGAGCTCTCTTTTTCTTACATCAAAAGGAGATGTTTCAAGAAGCTCTGCTGGGTGATACAGAACGGGAATGGCTCTCAGCGTGAAGAACTCCCGAATCTCTTCCCACACACCTCTTCACACAGCTGCAGTAAACTACAGGTAGGAGTGTTTTACCGCCATGTGCTCTGGATCAGTCGATGTGCCTCAAGACCACCAAGAAAGACTTTGTTCTTCGTCTGGGAACACAACAGACACAAACTCTCCCTCTTTTAATTAGAGCATCAACAGAGATGCTGCTACTAGAGTTACTGTTGTCTATAAACACTGCTCCTTCAGTCAGTGTGAATAAATGAGTCATCAAAGTCTTCAGGATTCATCTTTCAAAGGTCTTGGTTTGGTAAGAGGTGTTTCATTATCCAAACAATCCCATTTTTGTTTCAGTTTTCATATTATATTATTTTATTGATAGAGGGAGTCCTAATCTATATCTAGAGAGCAGAATATCATCGAGACAGTGGAATATTTTGACTTGAGCCAGCAAACAACTGATTGGTCCAGTTTTAGTTTGCGATCTGTAACCCAGAACAAAACCTGCTCCGGAGCAGGTTAGCTATGTAGCACAAGTTACCATAGAGATAGAGACCAGACACACCACTAAAAAGCAATCAACCTTCTTGAGTAAAAAAACTAGAGTTTGCTCAAACTAATCCCAAACTTACCTGGGTAGCAAGCAACTGAAACCAGCTTCATGCAACAGGCCACAGATAAATCCTTTTGTTGTTGCCAAGATAAGACATGTATCAATATTGTTCATGTTTAGGGTTAAAGATGTGAACAAACTCCTCACAATAAGTTATTTAACTATTTCACTTTAAGGTTCCAAGATGCCATAGAATAACCATTTTTGGTTTCCCAAAGAACCCTTCAGTGCACAGTTCTTAAAATATTGTTTTTTTCTTAGTGTGAAGAGCATTTTAAAAATCCAAAGAACCTTTTTCCACTATAAAGAACCCTTTGTGCAATAGAAAGGATGTTAAAGGTTCCTCATGGAATTATAGATGCCAGTAAAGAACCTATTTTTAAAGGGATAGTTCACCCAAAAATGAAAATTAAGTCATTAATTACTCACCCTCATGCTGTACCAACCCCGTAAGACCTTCGTTCATCTTCGGAACTCAAATTAAGATATTTTTTATTAAATCTGAGAGGTGGATCACTGCTACATAGGCTTCATAAGGGAATGAAACTTGACGGCCCAGAAAGTCTTTGAAGAAAATGTTTAAATATTTCATGTGCCTACAGTGGCTCCACTATAAGTTTATCAAGCGACGAGAATACTTTTTGTGCGGAAAAAAACTGGCGAGAACTGACGTTCTTCTTCTTCTACTACACAGCGCGCGTCTTACAAGCAGAGGAAGACGCACGCTGTACATAGTAGTAGAAGAAGAACGTCAGTTCTCGCGCATGCGTCCTGGAAATCTCTTGAACTCTCGTCTCAGGCCCACAAGGAAGCAATGGAATAGTCGAATAAAGTTGTTATTTTTGTTTTTTTCAGCACAAAAAGTATTCTCGTCGCTTGATAAACTTATAGTGGAGCCACTGTAGGCACATGGAATGTTTAAACATTTTCTTCAATGACTTTCTGGGCCGTCAAGTTTCACTCCCTTATGAAGCCTATGTAGCAGTGATCCACCTCTCAGATTTAATAAAAAATATCTTAATTTGTGTTCCGAAGATGAACGAAGGTCTTACGGGTTTGGTACAGCATGAGGGTGAGTAATTAATTACTTAATTTTCATTTTTGGGTGAACTATTCCTTTAAGAGTGTGTGTACCACAGAAATGATACTTCAAATCATGCAATAAGAGGAGTGCTATTACTTTTTTACATCATCAAGCTTAAGATATACATTATCCCTTAAATGGTTAAATTCTTCACCAATTATTATTACATATTCGGGTCTGCAGTGTCTACCTGTCGTGATAATATAAAACTCTCCTGATATTAGAGTAACAATTACAGAAGAATAAAATAAAGCATATTTTGTTACCTTTTGGAGCTTGAAAGGGTTCAGTTTGAGCAGTTGTTTTATACCATCATCACATTCTCATTTCCCAGTACATTCAGCATCTGGCTCATATTCGCCATCTCAAACATATTCTCAAAACTATCATTTTCAACATCTTTACAATCAATATTTAGATCGCTAACATCTTTACCAGATCCACCATCAAGTGACAGTGACACTAATATATGATTGTGTTCAGTACTTGCTCTGCAGTAAATCGATGAGCTATTTCAAGTTTTACTGATGATACTTCCTGTTCTTTTGTTTTCTGCCTGCAGTAACTATGAGTGAAACGTCACTTCATCATTGTGTCTCAGACATGAAGGTGAATAGCACTTATTAAGTCATCAAAAATTGAATTATTGTTGCGCAGAAAAAATATAGATACACTGTTACACACCTCGGGTCGATGGTGACCCTATACACATTTTACAAAAAATGAATGGGAAAACAGGCATTCTTTTATAAAAAAAAAAAATCTTGATATATTGTTTATAATGAATTGATTGAGGAATACTAAGAAGGTTGATGTCTAGCTTTAAGAAATGAATGAGGAGGAGGGTAGTGAATGACGTCCCTGGTCACTAAAGACCCGAGGTATGCGTTTAAGTTATAGGAGAGGCCAGGGGACCACAATATCATAGATTTCATAGATTTGGACATGGTCTCTTTGATTTGAGCATTTTCTTTGCCCTATTCTCTCTGATTCACAATGCCCTTGCCTTTGAGTAAACCGCTGCGCTGCCCTCTCTCAACCCCCCTTCTCTTTCTCTTCCATTCCTTCATTCTCATGCTCCTCTGATCTTGCTCTTCTTCTGGTGTTAAATAAGGTGAGCTGAAGAATTATTAGATCTGCAAAATGCAGCAAAGCCACAAATCATATAGCATTAGCGTGAGAACAGACAGCAGCTGCCCCAGTAATCTGCCCCTTTTCTCTCTCAAAGGGCTACTGTGGGCCCCGTTCTCAAAAACCTCTGCGTGTGTATGATGCTGTGAGACTTTTGGACTTGTGTATATGTAAATGACTGTTATGTTATAAACTATTATAATTAATTTCATAAAAGACTAAGGCTAAAGACTAAATCACAAAGATCTCATTCAGAAAAATGTGTAATACAGCAGATCCTGTGACAACCTTTGAAAGCGGCCATGCGCTCACACAACAAAACACTCATCCTTCATCTCCACATCAGCCACTCCTATCAAAGTCTTAGCGTGGCTTGAAGTTGGTGAGAGTGAAAAAAAGAGTTAAATGAAAAAGAAGAATGTGGAAAGTGTGGGAATGAGGAACAGCAGGGCAGACACAAAGGCCCGCCGTGTGTCGGGAGAACTGACCCGATCCAAGACACAAAAGAACCACTGCAGAGAGAGCTGGACAAGAGCTGGGCATCAGTCCTGAGCCACTGACACACAACCAGAGAGAGAGAGGGAGGGGTGGGATAAAAAGATGGGTGAGGCTACACTCTAGAAAAGGTTCAGCAAGGCTCTACATAGAACCCTAGAGTTCCTGACTCAATTTTAAAGACCACTTTATGCCATAAAGTTTCTATATAAGGAGAAATGTCTTAAATGATTGCATAATACTTTTTGAATGGAATTATTTCAATTTTTTTCTAGTGATAAAGTATGTTTACAAGCTATTTAATTCATAAAATTCAAAATTAATTTAATTAACTAATACTAAATCCATGGGATGGGAATCCCTAAAACCTGAAACCCTGAAAACCCCTTTATGGTTCCAGAAACTTTTCTTCTTGAGTGTAGGGGTGATTCTGCAACTTACCAACAGAGAATTGGAGATTTGAGTTCATAAATTACCATTAAAAAGATTTTTTATTTTTTTTTATTTTTTTTAAATAAGTCTCTTATTATTCCCAAGGCTGCATTTATTTGATCAAAAACACAGTAAAACAACAGTATTGTGAAATATTATTACAATTTAAAATACGTTTTTTTCTATTAGAATATATTTTAAAATGCAATTCATTCCTGCGATGTTAAATCTGAATTTTCAGCATCATTACTCCAGTCTTCAGTGTCACATGATCCTTCAGAAATCATTTTGATTTGATGTTCATGACACATTTACATTATTATTATCATTTTTCAATGTCAATGTTGAAAACAGTTTCTGCTTAAGTTCTTTTAATTTTCTTCAGTATTCTTTGATAAATAGAAATTCCTTTTTAGACACATGAAATTGAGTGATCCAATGACCAATTACAGTGGCAAATTTAAATGATTATTGAGAGCCAAGGAAACATTATCAGTGAATGAAGACTTAACTATTGGCCAGTTCCTCAGTCCCTATCGTAGGACTTCAGAAGACTTGGAATATAATGGACATGGACTACTTTTATGGCGCTTTTTTTTTTGTCTTTTTTTCTTTAGACATTATTTGTATTAATCCCCTTCCACTTTCCATGAACAAACAGGTTGGATATTCTATATCATTTTATGTTTCACAGAAAAAATAAAATCATGAGGTTGCAAAAAAATAATATGTAAATAATTACACCTTTTTTTTTTTTTTTTTGGTTGAACAATTTCTTTACTTGTATGTGATTATTTTGTTGTATTATATTTAAAGTATATTTTCCTATATGTTTTATTTTCTACTAATTAAAGATCATCAATATTAATAGTAATCTATTTTATATTGATACCACTTTTTATTTATTTTTCCTTCTAGAACGTGGAATTGTTCAGACGTGGTTTGCAACTCACCACAGAATGACCCAGGAACTATAAGACAGAGAGAGAGGAGTGGGTGACACACCTGACAGCAACCTGATCTGTGTTGGAGAGAGTCATGCCAATGCCTCTGAGGGATGCTGGTTATGTTGACTGAGACGCTACAGCATTTGTCCGGTATGTCACAACATGGCCGGCCTGTTTTTAAGCCACAGGTGTGCTTGGAGGGGTCACCTGACCTCAAACCTGTTAAAACACACACACACACACACACACACACACAGAGAGAGAGAGAGATAGAGAGAGACTACCTTCTTCTCAGATACTAACACACTGAACTGCTGCATCAGACAGAAACTGGATGGATGGATGATAGATGGATAGATAGTTGGGGTGTAACGACACCCACACGTCACGATTCGATACTTATCACGATACTGAACTCATGATACAGTATAATTGCGATACTCCAAGACATGGTAAAAGGTTAACAAAAAATGTACTGTTGATTAAAATGTTACATTTGGTATTACATTGTGGGTGTAAATGAATAGGCTTGGACTTGGTGCTGGTAACCCAATGCACAGGATAATGGTGACACCAGAATAAAAATATTCATAATTCTGAACCTGAAAATACAGAATTATTTTAGATGAATATGCTTGAATCACTGACTATATATATATTTAAAATAATGTAAGCCACTTTTTACTGATAACATAAGACATTTGGCATTAACAAGAACCACAAATATCCCCCCATTGAATTTTTATACATTATATTCAACATTATATATAGCAGTTTAATGTAGTACTGACACTCACTCTGTAAACTTGAATTTTTTCTCACACAGTAATTTTTATTTTGGGTGAACTAAACACAATTTGTCACTATCCACGATACACATTGTTGCATTTTTGTATTGCGATATATTGTGACACGATATATTGTTACACCCCTAATAGATAGATGTATAGATAGATAGATATATTCTAACATGAAAGTATTTTTTTTATGCCAGCTGTAGAATTGTTTACACTTTTTAGTTTGTTGTTGGAAGATTAACTGAGTATTGACTGCAGGATGGGAATGTAGAGTCAAGCACAGGTGCTGGATTAATAAGAAACACATTGTCGACACAATCACACACACACACACACACACACACAGACACGCTCAGATCTTATACTGCCGAAATAAAACACATGAGATACGCAAAAAATAAACCATGTACAGTTAGTGTTGGAGTATTGTCATACTTGACATACTTCATGCTGATCATTGCTTTTTAGAGCAATATGCAATATAGGAATTTCTTGAGAAGCGATTGAGGATTCAGCTTATAGTGCATAAGACATTTATTTATTTATTAAAATCTCCCTATGGTTTGTTTCCCCAACTACCATAAAACGGATGAATTAATCAATTTATTTAATTGTTTGCTTTATTATGTATATTAATGTGGGAGAGAATATTAAAATCCCTGTCTTTATGTTCAGTCTCTTACTCCATCTCTTTTGCAGCAGTGGGAAGCACTGATATAAGGGAGGATTTGAGTAGTAGGGCTTTTTAAAATCTGAATTTGACATCTTTGAAGTGTCAATAACTGATCCCCTTCTTTATGATCCCCGCAGTGTTAAAACCAGAGAGTGCGCCTTCTAATCTCACAGATGCAGCTCCAGATCTGCTTATCATAAATTACACCCGGAGGAAAAGAAATGAGGTCAGTTTGAGGTCACTGATGGAAATATGGAGCTCTAGTTCAAGACAATGTTGGAAAAAAACTGAATAATGGTGCATTTACATGTGCATCTCAATTTAGTTTTCAGATGTCATTTAAGATATCAACTTAGAATGAAAGTGGGTTTTTTTCACAGCTCATGCATGTGGATTTAATGATTGTGGAGAAATGTACACTTACACACTCTTACATTAACAAGAATACAAAATATTATAAAAGACTTCTTTATTTCTAATCATCATGAAGCACTTTCAACAAAATTATCTGTCTCCCATTCCATGTGTGGTACAGGACTATGATCTGAAGGCAGTAGCTGGGATTTGGTATAAAAAAAACTTCTTTAAAAAAATGTTAAGACTTCTAAAAAAATCTGTTTAGATGCATTACAAAAAATCCAGAAATTAGTCAAAGAAAAGACAAAGAAAATACATAACAAAAAAAGATGGCCTTGACAAATGCAACATGTAATACTTGTACAACTTAGAAAAGTATACTCATTTTAGATTCACAAAGGACACATACATTGTATGTGTTAAGTTATTATTATTCTTTTTGTTGTTTTTGTAAGGACATAAAAATGCTAACTAAATCATTCACATATTCAGCAGTCTGTTTAAATACCTTATTTTCTTCTACAAAGTGAATTTACATTGTTTTAAAGTACAAAGTGCAAAGACTATGGTTTCCGTTGTCGTTTTGGTGGGGGCGGGAGCGGGAACCATCGCGGCGGCCACTTTAGCCTTGTTTCTTTGACGGGTTCTGCAAATGTGAAAATTAAAGTCAGAGAATGAGGAAAATGCTATTTTAAAGCAATGGCTTGCTGTTGTCATCATTAATAAATGCAATTTCCCATTTGTATTTTAGTAATTGGTTTCAATCTACTGCTTGGTAAAAAAAAAAAAAAAAAAAAAAAAAAAGGTGGGATAGAACCATGGAATGCATGTTGTGAATGTTAACAGCACCTACATTAACTCACCAGTTTACTAGATGTTGTGCCTTCACCTGTTTTTGCCCCTGAGGAAAAAGCAATGAGAACGTTTTACAAGCCTGTTCCCCATTACATGACAGCAATACGGGTTGTTTCTGAGAAAGTTATTAAACAAACGCAAACACTCATTGTCAATTAAAACGACCACACAGTCTTCAAACAATCTCTTACAGCTCATAGAGCAAACTGTCAGTATCCCCAATCAGAAAACACTTAGAACGCTTGCGCACTAGAGTTTATTCTGTGAATTTACTAATTTATGAAACAGGTTCTAACTCTAACGAGATAGTTTAAAATAAGAAAAAATGTCATACTAATAGCAATAAGGTCAGAATTGTAAGAAATAAACTATGAGGAAAAAATACTTCTTTACGCACAAATTCTGAATGTTCTGCAACTGGAGTCAACTCTCAAAAACAGTTTGGTTAATAGACACCTGCATCAGGGAAAGGTACATTTACATAACTTTGGAATAAATATATATATATTTAAAGAAATTCATACTTTTATTCATTGGGGATGCTTTAAATTGATCAAAAGTTACAGTAAAGACATTTATAATGTTACAAAATATTGATATTTCAACTCTAATTTATTTGAACTTTTTATTCATCAAAGAATCGTGGAAAAAAATGATCACGGTTTTCACAAAAATATAAAGCACCTGATTTCAGCATTGCTAATAAAAAATAAATGTTTTTTGAGCAGTAAATCAGCATATTAGAATGATTTCTGTAGGATCATGTGACACTGAAGACTGAAAAAAAATTATGCTGAAAATTCAGCTTTGCATCACAGGATTAAAAGGTACACTATGTAACTTTATTTTGTTCAAAATTAACCAAATTTAAATAACGAGTCAATACATTATCCATCCTTCTTCCAAAACGTGTTTTTGTCTGACCTTGATTTACTATGGTAAGTCTTTTCTAAGTGTTTATATTTCATACAGGATAGTTTTCGCGGGAAATAACGTACGTCACTCGCCTGACGTCTCGTCATATCCATAAACAGAGAAAAGTTGCTCCGGCTACTTTGACGCGTTTATGATGTTGGAGTGGCATAGGTTAGTTGTCACAATAATCGAGAAAGGTTGACACGAAGCAGCTAAATCTCAAACCTCCGTGAAATCACCTGTTTTAAAAAACGCTGAACAGAGGAGAGTCTGCTGGCAAAAGGAGAATACGAAAGAGCTCGTAATAAAACCAGAATCAACATTGGCTTTTTGGAGATGGTGAGAACTGAGGGGTTTGAAATGTTAAAGCAATGAGGAGATGATGACGTTTTATACACAACAGGTGCGTAAGGTAATTTATTGAACAGATAAATTGACATATGTAGCTCTCTAAAGGAGTTCATTGTAAAGCATTATCTATATTTGTGAAGGGTCATATTCATGCGCAGAGCCCAGGCACAACCAAAACAGTGTTCTTCCGCAAAATGCAGCTAGAGGGCCAAAATTTACAGTGTACCTCTAAAATATATTCAAATCGAAAAGTCTATAGTTGTAATGCTGTTTCACGATATTACTGCTTTTACTGTATTTTGATCAAATAAATGCAACCTTGGTGAGCAAAAAACCTTTCAACTTAACACAAACTTTTAAACAGTAGTGTATGGAGCATTTAAATTGCATTAAAAAGGTGCATACAACTTTTGTGCAAACCATTTGAAATCAAAGTATTGCAGTGCAAACTCTAGATGCCCGTACATCTGGGTCATCCATGAGGAAACAGCGAGACTCACCCTCTTCCTTAGTAACACCCAGACAGCCCATCAGTTCCTGTAGAGACAGGGCCTTATCGTTGCTGATGTCGCAGTACTCCACAAACTTCTTCACACACTTCTTAGGTTTGGATTTCTTACGCAGCAAACGCTTGAATGGTTTGATTTCTTTCTTTCCGATATCACCGCTGGAATTCTTATCAAGCTGACTGAAATACCAGTGAACAACTCGCTCTTCCAGAGTATGACTGGGGTCTGGCTCCAACATTCTGAAGGAAGAATAAAACCAAAATGTTTTTAAGCAAACACAGGACATGTTTACATGCTCATAGTTTTCTGGTTAAATGTTTGTGAAACTGGCAGTGTATTAAAATATCTTTCCATTGTGAAGTACTCTATTTACTCCAAGTACTCAACCCAGCTAACAAAAATATGTTCTAACAATATTTTGCTAATGTTCTCATTAGGGAAACATTATTTATGAATGTTCAAAAATGTTTTTAAAAAGTTTTTCTTGGTTATGCGAACGTTAAGGGAACATTCCATTTTATCATTTTGCACACATTATGGGAACGTTAATGTTGAATGCTTAAAAAATAAGTTCGGTGAACATCCAAAGTTAACGTTTCAGGGGGGAAAAAAAACGTTCCATGAATGATGGATAAAAAAAATCAAATTTGTTCATTTTTGGAGAAAATTATAAAAGACCAGATAACTTTGAACATTCTATTAATGTAACTGGAAGAACATTTGTTCATAACTTTGAAAGAACCTTGCCAGAATGTTCTGAGAAAATTCCCTGTTAGCTGGGAATTATTCCAGTCAGTCAGCTAATGAACTAAGAAAATACTTGTACACCACACAGTAGGAAGGGTCAGTTCATTTTATGAACTGGCCCATTACATCTTAATCTGTCAATGGTCTCTCACTTACCTGCCGGCAGAGGCCGGGTCAGTTACTGCATGAACCATGTCAGTGGACAACGCGTCCAACACGCTCGTCAGGAATTCTGTCTTCTTCTCCCCAGGACATCCTGAAAAAGAGGGACCCAAGAGTTACGAAAAGAGCTGTGGCATTCAAAATAACTGCATACAACTTTGGAATAAATACCAAGTTCTGTCATGAAACTCTAGATGGCGTAGGCTGATGGGTCCTTAACGCAACCTGCTGACAACCACATTGCTAACTACATGGCACAAGCTGATTGGTTTCTGTTGCATCTGTAGCCAATGAGCTTGCTGCTCAACATTTAAATAGTTGGTCAATGTTTGCTGCAGTCTGCAGAGTGCTTTCAGAGTTTCTCCGAAGCCTCCACCTTCCCCAGCTCCACCTGTATAGATCTGCTACGGGTAATTTCATACATGCTATTTGTGCAGCAGCATTTCTCACAGCAGCAGGTCTGTGTATGTGTATGCATTGGCAGAAGCAAGTCTCTGTACTTGTTCTGCAGCAGCATAGCAGATGTATTCCGCCAAGACTAAACCCATTACCATGCTAAACTGTTCAGAGAGTTGTCATGATAGAACTACAACTATGAATGGACTATTCCTTTATATTATACTTTCGATGGCAAAACTGTCCTAAATGTTCTTTCCTCATTGGATTTGAGTGAAATGAAGCTGTTGTTTTATAGAATCCCATGGGAAAAAAAGATTAAAAGAGACCAAAGCTTCCTTTCATTTAACATTTTACCTTTAGGTTATCAGATTAAACAGCTATGAAACCTCATAAGCAGCTGTTGTGACTGAATTACCTCATGTAACTGCTGCTCTGATCCTAATTTATTGAACTATTTTTGTGCTTGAATGCTCTGTGAGCATTATTATTATTTTTTTACTCTTATTTATCAAGGATGCATTAAATTGGTTAAAAGTGACAGTAAAGACATTTATAATGCTACAAAAGATTTGTATTTCAAATAAATTCTGTTCTTTAAACTTCCACAAAAATACTAAGCAGCACAACTGTTTTAACATTGATATTAAGAAATGATTCTTGAGCACCAAATCAACAAAATTGATGAGATATCGATGATATATGATCTGCTAGCATTTTATGCTCCTCTTACTAGTGGCTATTTTGGGTACTGGTGCCATAGGTGGCCCAATAAACATTGGGAAGATGTAAAGCTGACAGACGTTTCACTGTTTTTACACCAACTGCACTTAAAGATTGTGGAGAGTAGGAGATAAACTATGTTACGGCTTGAGAGATTCTTCGCCGCCCTATCGTAAAAATCCGACCTCCCCTATCCTGTCTGAGGAAGATGACAGCTGCCAATCAAACAGATGATTTAGGTTTATGGTCACAGGTAAAAGTCTGCTGTGTGTGGGAACTGTGGTCTGTGGATGTTTGGGTGAAACCCACAAACCAGTCAGAAACATGTCCAGGTCATAATTCACCAGAAAAAGGAGAAATTATATTTGCATACTGAAAATGAAGCCTATTTAGGATTTTATTGCATTATTTTTATGGCAATTACCTTTTTTTAAGTAAATCTGGTGTACAATAATCTTATTTCAGCACATATGTGTCCATCTAATATCAGTTGCTTGTGTTATGTATTATGCACATGTACAGTATATTGGCCAACCTGCGCTTTAGA